GTGTGTGTGTGTGTGTGTGTGTGTATATTTTATAGACATATTCTTTTTTTACATTTTAAGATAATAAAATATTAAAAAAGTGTAATAGAATTAAGGTTATAATTTTATTTCAATTGTAGATAATGTCTGACGATATAATTATAGCAAGTGCGTGTTATATTATAATTTGATTTTTGGTTTATAACTTGAAAAAAACCAAAAAAAGAAAGAGAAAATGGTGGATGACGCAACTGTATTAAAATCGTCAACAGAGGAAATAATTTATTAAATAATTTAAAAAAAATTACATGGGACAAAAAAAATTTCAAAATTTCTGCAGAAGATTTTGAATTTTTATTAAATAAAATTGGATCAAAAATTTCAAAACAAGATACAGTATTCCGTCCGCCAATTCCTGTTCAAGAAAGATTTGCCATTATTCTTCGTTTTCTTGCAACAGGAGATTCTTATTTACAAATTTAATATATCTTTTTAAAGTATCAAAACAATTGATTTCAAGAATTGTACCTGAAATATGTGTTGCAATAATAGAAGCATTGTAGGAAATGATTCAAGTAAGAATGAAATATTATATTTCAATATAATTGTAAAAAATATATATTCTTAAATTGTTATTTATATATTTTTACTTGAACACATCAAATTTACATTTTTTCAAAATAGTTCATCAAATTTACATTTTTTCAAAATAGTAAATAATACTAATTAATAATATTAATTTACTTACAATATAATTTTCTAATTTTCTCAAAATATAATAAATTTTATTTCTTTATTACTTTATTATATTATTTTAATTTTAATATAATAAAAATAAACTTAAAATCAAGTATAAACAGTTTTCATCATCAATGCTTATACTTGTATTTTATATATATCACAACAAGAAACATAAAATGCTATCACAGAATGAATAAACTTAAAATTCTCTTTGTACATTAATGCTTAAATTTTATATTGTACTAGAAGACAGTCTTGAACAGTGCACATTATTTTGATTTTAATATTATAAAAATAAATTTAAAATTAAACATTAACATTGTCAACACACTTGTACTTTATATCACAATAGGTAATTTATATATCACAATAGAAAACATAAAATGCTATCTATAGAATGAATAAACTTAAAATTCTCTTTGTAACATTAATATTTAAATTTTATACTATAGTAGAAGACAATCTGAACAATGTATATTGTTTTGATTTTAATATTATAAAAATAAACTTCGAACTGAAATAAAACTTAAGTATAAACAGATTCCATCAATGCTTATATTTCTACTTTATTACAAGGAAACATGCTGAACATATGATGCATAAAATATCATAAAATGAAATTAAAATCCTCTTTGTAACATTAATTTATTTTCCTCTTTGTAACATTAATACTTATATTTTAAACTATAGCAGAAAACAATTTTGAACAATTTTACGTTTCATATATGCATATATTGTTAAGTTATGTTATTATTATTAAGTTATTGAATGTATGTGTTGTATGTTCAATAACTTAGTAATAATAATACATAATTAATTATTGTATTTTTTGAGAATATTTTGAATGTTATCTGTAATGATATATGTATGATCTGTAATGATATATCGTTATTGTTTAAATTTTAAACAGGTAAAACAGTTGATGCTTTTAAAAGTTGTGATAATGAAGATTCAGAAAAAGATGTTAATATATCATTATGAGAACTATTTGGAAATATTGATTGTGTTGACATTTCTGTTAAATGTCAACACAATCAATATTTCCAAATAGTCACATGTTCATATGTTTCCATATCAGCTTGAAATAAGATATTATTAATTTGATGTTCAAAACACAACTTTGTGTTTTAACATTGTATTTACGATGTTTTCTTGCAAGATTGCCAAAAATATTAATATTATCTTTTTGTTTGCTTGTTTGTACCGTATTTGTTAAAATATTGTAAGCTTCAGATTATTTTTATTTTGCTTATTTTACTTATTTTTCTTTTGTAGAAAAAGATCTTTTTTTTGACTGTGTTATTTTTGAAGAAATAGTTTTATTTGTCAAACTTTCATTTGTCATTTGTATATTTTGTTTTCTTGGTACATCAGAAGTTGATGATTCCTCAGAGTCTTTGTTACTATCATCATCCTGATTTTCTATTAATTCATTTATTGGTGATGGATATTCATCTTCCTACAACAAATAATTTTAAATTATTATATTTTTTTCAACTGCCTACAGCAGAACAATGGTTAGATATTGCACAGCAATTCGAAAAAAAATTGAAATTTTCCACATTGCTTAGAAGCAATCAATGAAAAACATTGTATTTTACAAGCTCCAATAAACAGTGGAAGTGATTATTATAATTACAAATCTTTTAGCATTGTTTTAATGGGAATTGTAGATGCTGATTATTGTTTTATGTACGCTGATGTTGGCTGCCAGGGAAGGATTTCAGATGGAGCAGTTTTTAGAAATACTTCTTTTTATAAACAATTACAACAAAATAAGATGGGAATTCCTATCGAAGAATCATTTCCTGGAAGAACCATGAAAGTACTTTATGTTTTCGTAGCTGATGATGCATTTCCTTTAATAAATAATATTATGAAATCTTTCCTGGGTATACAAAAAAAAGGAAGCAAAGAGAGAATCTTTAATTACAGATTATCTAGAGTACGACGTATTGTTGAAAATACATTTGGCATAATGTCATCTATATTCAGAGTTCTGCGCAAACCTATGCTCATAGAGCCAGAGAAAGCAACTTTTATAGTATTATATTGCATCTATTTACATAATTTTCTTTGTAAAAGTAAATCTTCTCGAAACATTTATATGCCATCTGGAGCAATTGATACTATTATAGAAGACATATAACAGAAGGAACATGGAGAAATGATAGTGAATTATCATCATTTCTTTCATTATCTAAAATAGCTAGAAGAGCTTCATAAAATTATCATGCAATTAGAGAAGAATTTGCCAATTATTTTAAAACAGGTATAGGAAGTATCTCATGGCAAGATAAATACAATTAAGTAAAAGTTAAGTTAAGTTTATAAATTTAAATTATAAATTAAAGTTAAGTTTAATATAAGTTTAATATAAGTAATCTAAGTAATAACTTAAAATTATATTATATATATGGTATAAGATATGAATATAGGTATAAATTAAAATTACATATATATGATTTAAAAATAATAAATAAAGATAAAAATTAATTATATGAAAATAACAAAGTTAAGTTAACATAATTACTATCCAATAAAATATTAATATTTTATATATATGTCTTATTATTTCATATATATATGTACTTACATAAAAAGTATTTGTATTACACGTTGTTCATGATTGAAATTTCAAGGAGAAACATCATGTCGTTAAAATCAAACTAAATAGATTTTTATTAAATAGATTTGTAAATTTCATCTCTGCCAGATTCAGATTTTGTCATGCATTTCATTCTTTCTCTTCTAAAGGAAGAGAATAAAGAATCTATCTTTTTCTTTATTTCTGATCATATGACATGTTAAAATAAAAAAACTTGATAGATTACATTTAAATTTAATAAATTAAGATATTGAAAGATATTTATTAGATTCGGAAAAATAAACAGAGACCAACTGGATTTAAATTCAGGATTCCTTGTTTACTAATCTGACACTTAGTCTGCACGACCACGACGGCTCCTCTCTGTTAGCTGTTTATATTCCGAATCTCTTTCATGACCGCTTACGGTCGTTTAATTCTTATAATATTAATAGTCTAAGGTAACTACATTAAGGATTAATAATACTTAAATATAAGTTATTTTTAAAAGATATATTTTTTTTCTAAAATTTGTATTATTGCAAAGTCTATCTTACCTGACAACTAAATTCTTTTGCTAATTCTTGCCACGCAATATTTTTTCTTTATTGTGATAAAATTTATTTTTTGGATCCCATAGTAATTCATAATTTTTATAATGTGATATTAATTTTAAACTTTTTTTTTCAGTCCATTTCATTTTTTGACAAGCTAAATAGAAACGTAAAAAGATATAATAAAATTTCCTTACACTTTCACTTTTAATGATTTTTTTTGTGAAGGTATGTTGCCGAGTGCGTACCGTGATAACTCACTTTTAATGAAAAAGTATAGGTTATAATTCTAAAAGCAAATAGCAGCGAACAGCATTCGTGCGTGTTCACATCGCGCACGAATTATCTTTGATGATGACCACCTCATGAAGGAATCGAGCCGAACGCGAATCAAACGTTCTATTCGCATTCGCCTTTGCGTATACATTTGCTGAATGATAATAACGAATGTTCGCGTTCGTTCGATGTTCGTTCGCTAAGTGTATACTCAGCTTAACTAACATATCAGCAGACTGCTCGGTTTTTGCTGCCAATCTGCTGGCATAGCATGTCAACAGACTTTGCTCGGTTTCTGTCACCAATTTATTCGCATAGTATGTCAACTCTGCTCTGCTCGGTTTTTACCGCCAATCTGCTGGCATGTCAGCAGGCTTTGTCGACAAATCCCGAGCCTAATGAGGACACAGCGGCTATGAATTTGCAGTCAATATTTGATTTGTTACCAATTTGTTAGCAAATTGCTAGCTGGATTTTACTTGCTGGGACGCTTTTGTAACGTCCGCAGAAAATTAAAACTTGCGGACGTTCATCCGAAATGATGTAGGTGCAGTCGAACCTTAGGTTAACGCATGCGCAACCTTAAATATTAAGATATAAGATTATAAATATTGATATTTTAAATATTAAGATTTAAGTATTAGGATACAACTTTCAAGGTCTTACCATTTTATATATAAGTGTGTTCCCTTTTTTTTATTAAGATATATAATTAATATTAAGATATATATATAATCAATAATAAAGCGAGAATTCATTTGATTCATTTTCGTCGTCAGTTAAAATCTTGCTGCGCAACGAAAGACTCTCCGAGTTGGCCCTTCGTTTGAAAGTTTACATTAGAAATATTTGAGTGCGATAAGCCTCCCCTATAATATAAACTGAGGCTATCG